GAAACATTCAATATTTAAATAGGAAAACAAAAGTGTTGATTCAGGGCCTCTCTGGAATTGAGGACTGTGCGACTCAAGTGTTATTAGTTTCCTAGTAGATTCACCACTAATCCAACCAAAAGTGTTCTAAAAAATATTAAGACAGGATCGAGATAGAGTAAAAATAAAATATAAAAGGAATAGTATGATAACATTTGGAGATTTAACATTTCAAAAAATGGTGTTCTGTTAGGTATGACACATACTCTGTTGGCAAAGGACTCATGCACCCACTCCCAAATCTATGATATGGGGCCCTGCATTCTACTTCATTTCAGTTTTTATAAGGGCAGTCAGTCAGTTATGTGTCATGCATGATACATGCTTAGGCAATCATGTATCTTTCGATACATGACTGACGAGGCAGATTTTTTCCTGCAGTCAGTTGCCATTTCTTTCTGTAGTAGACCAGTTGCCATCTAAGAAGATCTGTTCTGCTATTTACTCATAGCAGTCATGTATCAAAAGTGTGTATCATGCATGGCACATAACTGACTGAGTGTCCTTTCAGTTGTTTCAGTATTATGAACTTAGTCTGAATACTCCTTGTGAAAATTTTTATACTTTGTGGTAACTCAGAATTTATTTTCTTGAGATTTTTAGTACTTTGCAGGCCCAGTTAATGCTTATACTCCCTTATTACATAACCCAGTGACTTCTCACCGAACTGGGGGAGGATGAGGAGGAGGGGAAATGCAGGCCCCTGGTCTTTGTGACCAGGGTGCCTGGTGGGTTATGTATTGAGTTACATGCACCATTTATTTTTGTTCTGTCAACTGGATGCTAGTTGGGCTTTCCTATCAATTCTTACTTCTAGCACTCTTGCCGTTTATTATTTCTGGCTACCAAGGACCCTTACCTTCTGGCATTCCTGGCCTTTATTACTTCCTGCTACCATGGACTCTTATTTTCTGGTATACTTGGCTTTCATTACTTCCAGCCCTTACTTCAATCCCACTGATCTGGTTGATCTGTGTTAATGGACCTGCTTACTTCTGAACTTCTGGCAACACTAGGTCCCTGCTTCCAGTTTTCCTATCAACCTAACTCACCTGGTTTAGGAAATTACTGCATACATAACGTCCAGATTCAAACAACCTAATCCATACACTTTGGTTAAAATACTACAGAAGGTTCACCACTGAACTTAACCAGAAACTACTCAACACCAGCACTGGACATTTAAATTGAATTTTCTTTGGCTATATCGTCCAGCCTTCAAATTTTCATACACTTTGATTAAAATACTATGGAAGGTTCATCATTGGACTTAACCAGCAACTTTTCAACACTTTTGTCGGTCACTTGAACTGAATTTTCAAACTGTGGACTTACATGCCACCTTAACTTACATAGACTCTACTTTTAATATTTAGTCACAGTTATATTATCTTCTAATGACAGTGTTACCAATATAGTAGCAGGTTGTCACCATTATGTAAGGGTGTGTAATGCATACATTTAACTTTGGCTAGGAAAGGTGGGATTAAGGACAATGCGTGGACGCAATGCAATTTATATTTGACGTATATAGCACATAGTATAAAATACAAAACTGAACGTAATTATTTCAAAACATAACAATTGAATTTATTAGTGTTTGGTGTACAAGCATATAAGCTGAAGGTGTGATAGAGTTACGTCTCTTAGATTTGGAATATTTGTATTTGAGCTCATAAAGTGAAAGTAATTATTAAACTGTAGTTTAGAAGAATAAAGTTCCTTTAGCATGTAAGGGAATTGAGTTGTAAAGAGTTCAGAAGAGATTTCAGAGATCGTACTTGCGTGAATATTGGTAATGGTCTTTAACGTCTGACAGCAAAGGTTAAGACGGGAGTTCTTGAAAATTACATCTTGGCAGCAAGGAGAAAGATGAATGAAGAGAAAACACGAGGGAGTTTACACGTGTTTTGTTTTTATAAGATTGTGTATCACGTGGGAGGCTCAGAACGAAAACGCAGGAAATTTTATTCCTCATGTGCAGGATATCTGATTGGTCGGAACTGACCAATCAGCGAGCTAGTTTTGAGTAGATTAACCAATGAATGCTTGTTATATATTTTGTAAGATGGTGGTGGTGAAAGTCACACAGGAATAGTACATTTCCTAGCAGGGGTTAACTGGCTTGTTGTGGAAGATTCCACAATCTAGATCTTCTATCTGGTCAGTATCCCTTTATTTACTTACTTCTACTTTTATTACTTGATTCATTGATTGTTCATGTTCCTTTAATCCAAACATTTACTTGTGTATACAATGTAAATAAATTTTGTATTAATTTTAAGTTTGTTGTCCTCTTGCTGCCCTATCAGATTTCACATTTTTTATTTAAAAAATGTTAGTGGGCCTCTTGTGACACATACTTATTTGGGGTGCACATTATAGTATGACCCCCTCCAGGGAGTCCACCACAGATGAAAAGCTTGCATTTGTTGTAGAATTTATGAAAATTAATCTGGTACTTCTATAGAAAGTTCTTAAATTGCGCCTCCTTCATTAATCCAACAGATCATCTTATCAGACGTTTATCTGATAAGATGATCTATCGGATTAATGAATTTTCTTGTTGAGGAAATGTTAGAAAGTTACAATAAATTTTAAATTTACCATAGAGACTTCCCATATTTTCTGAATGTCTCGTATGGACATCCGTATTTACAAAAATCCGCACGTTTATATGCACGCACACACAAATTCAAAATGTACAATTCAGAACAGATTTTCTGTAACTGGTCGTCTCTTTTGATGGAAAAAAAAAATCATGATTTAATTTCTCTTAGGACTCCTTCTTGTAACCGATATAAACATTAATTAAGCGCTACAAAAACAAATTTCTCAAAATTTCATAAAATTAAATAAGTGAGAGTGGTATAAAAAGTGGGATAGAAGATGTAAAAAAAGAAAATTTTTTTTTTCAAGATTTTCTAAAAAAAAAAAAAAAAAAAATGAAAAAGAAAAAAAGAAACGTTTCTAAAAGATCAGAAAGTTTCAAAATCCAACAATTATTGGATTTTGGCAAGAATTACCAAATCAATGTTTTTTTTAACTTCAAAAAAAAAAAAAAAAAAAAAAAAAAAAGAAAGAAAAAAAAGCGCACAAATTTCCATAATAATTTACCCACCTCCATTTGTTGACGCCAGAAAAAAAAAAAAAAAAAAAAAAAGAACCAGGACTTTTAACCAAAATTTCATATTTTCTAAAAAAGATTAGGAAAAAAAAAAAAATTATATAAAAAAAATTTTTTCTGTTAAAGATTTTGACGATAAAACTGTTTTTATTGAGTTTTTGGATATTTTTTCATCATGCATATCTTTTTTTTTTTTGTGAATCTTTATTATCCATTGAAATTTTTTTTTCTTAAGACAGCAGTGTCCATAATTATTCAAAAAAGCAATTAAAAGCTTTTCTAATTAAATAAGTTTTATTGCATTTTTTAATTTTACGATTCAGAGCAGATTTTCTGTAACTGTGGGTACCGCCCGCTACAGGTTTTATTTTACAAAAAGAAATAATTCCATTCATTTAAGATTAAGAATAAGTCCCGAATGTTTCATTAAAATCCGACAATTATTTGATTTATATTCATAATTAATTTTTAAATGGGGATTCAGCCTGCTATGTAATCTCATTGCGAACTGACTTCCCCCCACAACATCTACAAAAAAAAAAAAAAAATATAGATTAAGTAAGGCAAGGGGAAATAATAATAATAAAAACGGTAATTAAGAATATGCTGTTTTGTAATTATACGAAACGAATTTTTTTTTTTTACGCAAGTTAATTATATATTGGTTTTGTTACCCGTGCGCTAATATCCCTTAAAATTTATCAAAAATCGTCATAATTTCGTGCAAATGTACATGCTGAACTCGAATTAAAATTAAATTTAACAAGTTTTTAAATATTAACAAGAAAAAAACTTCTTGTTTTTTTTTTTCGGGACAAGTGATGGGGGCCACATTTGGTGTTTACGACAATAAATATTAGTACAAGAAAACGTTCACTAACATAACAATAAGGTTTTTTTTAACATAAATATTAACTTAATATTTTTTTTTTTTTCATATTCTAGGGTCTATTCTGTTAATTTACCCTAAAATAGTAAAATAATAATAATAAAAAAAAATTACAATTACTAAAACTCACAAATTCTCCCAGCGTAAGTACTTTATGTTGCACACTCCCGTTGGGTTAGGGCGGTACGGTCGCGCTCACCCCGGTAAACAAGCCAAAAACAATTTTTTTTTTTTTAAATTGTAAAATCTCCTATAAATACATCGAATATCATCCGCTCTTACAAAATGTGAATAACTCCCTGATTTTTGGTAATTTTTTATTCTGAGGGTTGGAGTTGTTGCGAGGCAAGCTAAAAAAACAAATATTGATTTAAAAATAAAATCTATAATAATTTCAAAAGCGTGACAAAAATTTAATAAAAACAAAATTTGATTTAAAATTTATAATCTCTTGGGGGTGAATTAATATTTGGGATAAGTAACTTTACATTATATTTGTTTGTGTTGAATTAGCACTTAACAGAAAAGATCCAAATTTTAACTTGAAATTTTGCGAATAAGAATATTCTCAAATTAATGAGCATTTATTTGGGGGTTATAGGGGGGGGGGATGAATTTAGTAAACTGATACCTGCCCTTAAAATCTAAAAGATTAAAAGAGATCGATATTTGGGATTTGAAGTGCTTCATATTATTATTCAATCGTAATATAAAAAAAAAAAGTATTTCTTGGAGAAGTTCATTTCTGTAGAATTTTTATTCTCTAAACTTTAATAAAAATTCTACAGGTCTAAAGATCTCTGTGTCAGATATTCAAAAATAGTTGCAATAAGAGTCAGTGAATTCTTTCAAAAAAGTGATTTGTTTGAAAAGAAGAACCAAGCGGGTCAACATCACGTTTTTATTTATTTTCTCTAACTGCCTGAATTAAACTAATTCTCTTACCTGTTCCCTTCCCTATCACTTTCTTCGCATCTATGCTGATCACTTTAACGCAGGGAAGTAGTTTTTGTATTTGACTGGATAAACCAACAACTTCGCTGATGACATGAACAATTCCAGACATCGTTATAAAATAAATCCCACACGATACAAAAACTCTAATCCAACTAGAGTGATCTCCCTTGATATCATCCGGTGTTGTTTCATTTTGTTACCCGTTGAATTATCTTTAATTTACATCATTTTTTTTTTTTTTTCGTTAACTGGAATCAGTCTTGTCTTGTTTTGTTTTCGGCGAGACAAAGCACAAAGTTAAAGCAGATTTCAACTCCAGTACAACACCTCATTATTGTACTAAAAAATATAGACTTCTTACCATACGCCCCAAAGCGATTTGACCCAGTGACAATTAGTACTTTTGTTTTCTTCTCTCTCTTTTAGATTTTTTTTAAAACTAAATTTTCTTCCTACCGTGAAGGTTCGTGAGGTACAATAAAGAATTTAAAAAGATTTAAAAGTTTATAAATTAAATTATTCTAATTAAAAAATTTTTTGTAAAAATTTATTATTCAGCAAAAAATTGTTTTTCTTAAAACCATTTTTAGTGCCTGTAAGTTTTAAAGAGTCAAGGTAGTTTAAAAAGCGGTGTCATTGGAAAAACCGTCCTTTTGACACTACGTCTTATTGCGGGTACATTTTGTCTGTTTACCAACCTTTTTTATTCAAAATTATTAAGATAAAATATTCCTACTGAGTAAATACCAACTTAGAATAAGATTGAATTAACTCATAATTTATGATGTAATTAAATTCTCTTTATTAAAAAATCTTTCAAAAATAAAATATACTTTTCTGAGTCTTTAATTGAGGAATATTAACTGATTTAAAGTTTAATTAATAATTAATTTGATTTGAAACAAAAAATAATACTTACTTTAAGTTTAAAATATTGCAGAAATGCATTTTTAACATGGTGGTAGCAGTTTATTTAAAAGTGTTGACATTCTCAGTCAAACTGTCAATTGACAGCCTAATTGAGAGGTGGAAGTTTATTTAATTTTCTTCTATGGTGGATATATCTGTAAAAATGTGGAATATAACATGAAAGCTTTTTTATATAAGTTTTAACTATCCAGATGGACATCTGTATTTACAAAAATCGGCACATTTATGCGCACACGCACAAAAAAATTCAAAATTCTTTAAAAAAAATATTGGTGATCGCTAAATTGTAATAAATTTTTCGATTTATGATTAGTAAATATACTTTTCACTTAATAATAATAACACGTAACTAGAAAAGATTAATACAGAATTTTAGAAGATTTAAAACTTTATAAATTGTTATTAAAATAAAAAAAAAATTGTTTGATGATTTAAATTCTCTAAGGAGTTCTGCTTTTAGCTAATATAAACATTTAAGCTTTACAAAATTAAATTTTGTCGAAATTTCATAAAATTAAATAAGCGTGGGCGGGGGACAGATGTAACAAAAATATGTTTACCAAGATTTCCTAAAGAAACATTTTTAAAATGATTTCATTCATGTTCATTCTTTTATCAATTATCGCTAATATTTCTTATACTTATGGAATAACACAGTAATTCCATCTACATTTTACGCGCGCGCAAGTTTTCCTCCCTTCCTTCCACACTCGTGCGTGTGTGCACGCGGTTTGCACCCCTTCCTCTCTCTTACAGCTAGACGTAGCAGTAATCTGGAGGAAGGAAGGTCGCTTATCATAGCTCCTGCTGATAAAGTCAGCCTAACAGAATTTGAATTTTTTCCCGCGCGTTTTCTTGACGTCACGGACGCCAGCGACATACTAATCTTTGGCCCCTCGGCCAAAGAAACATTCACCCACTGATACACACATGGCCTAGTGGATAAAAGTGTTGGTTGTGTGATCCAAAAAGTGACTGGTGTTATCTTCTCTGGTTTTCCTTTTTCTTCTCTTTACACAATTCAACTTGTAACAGAGGTATACACTTTCTTCTCAGGTTTTCCTTTTTCTTTAAACGCAGACTGAATCCTCAGCATATAAATTTCTCTGCGTCTTCAATTTGGGGTTCTCGAACAGGAATACTTCTTACATTTCTTGTCCGGAGTTGCCTGGGTTGAACTGGATAAGTTCCATCACTATCAAATGCGTCTTATCTTTCCGTTCATAAACTATCAGCGCTTCGGCTTCAGGTCTTGCCTCCTCAAAGTCAAGATAGCAACTGATTCTCGAGTGAATCTCTGACTATCACGTGTCTTAAGTTTTGGCGCGAATTCCAGCTTACATCCGTCCACTGTCTAGCTTCCTTCTAGACATTTGACCTGCCTTCCAAAATGTCATAAAACTCCCACGTGACCTTTATTCTATTGCTAGGCGGAAATTAACCCTAATATATGCGTATATGCGTGTGCTGAATTAAAATCCGACAATTATTTGATTTTTGCGAGAATTTTCAAATCAGTATTTTTCACCGGAAAAAAGACGCTAACATTTCTTGTACTAATCTTTGGCCCCTCGGCTGAGGCAAAAAAAGAAACATTCAACCACTGATCCACACATGGCCTAGTGGATAAAAGTGTTGGTTGAGTGATCCAAAAAGTGACTGGTGTTTTTATTGCCATATTCACAACAGTTTGCCAGTTGCATGCTTCAGCCTTCTTCAGGTGATATACGTTGGAATTTCGATCCTAACCCTTTATTTAGTCCAGCGGGTAGATTGTTCTAATTCCACGTGCCATGCCCTTGTTTTTTTTTTTTTTAATATCTCAGCTCAGTTTCATTTCATTCCCTTTAGTAACTCTTCAAATTTTTGTTCACACTGCTGTGGCCAGGTAATGAACTCTCAACTGGATCAAGTCACTTTTGGATCACACACTCAATACTTTTATCAATTATTTTTATCAACTATTATGTCCTAATATGAACTGTGGGATGCGAACAGTCTTCTCCCATGTATACAATAAGTGCTTTGGTTCAAAATTCAGAGGTTGTTACTGAATACAACAGGCATCTGAAGAAAGCCGGAGAATACAACAATTGAAAAGCCTGACTAATGAAAATATAATAGATGAGGATGAAATTTAGTTCAAATGAATCAATGTACAATAACAATTTTCTTTTAATCATTTCACTCACAAGCAAAACGATAAAGACTCTAAGACGCAAGGAATTCGTCATATTAGCAATTCAGATAAAAAAAATAATTGGAAGTCCCGCAAAAGTACAGATATAAATTATACTTGTACTTTGAACATTTTTTGTCTGTATAACTATGAAATATACAGTGAGTCAATTTAAAAAAAAAATTAATTCACTCCCAAGCAAGGCAATAATGCCACTAAATTGCAAGGTACTACTGGGAGTGAAAGAACATGAGAAGACCTTAGAAGCTACCGGAAACCTAATCCTAAACAGGAAACGAGGGATAAATCTTTACTCCTGTTCAAAAGACCAGGGAGGTGTGTGAAGCGGACGATAGTAATTGAGAACAAGTTATAATATTAAAACAAAGATATTCAATATAAGAAATCAGTTTATTTTTTAAAGAATTTTCACATATGTTAAAATTAGAGAAATAGAAAATTTTTATTCAGTATCTGTCTATATTTCTGAGATGAGGTATTATGTACATTATTTACATTATTCGGACTATTGTCCTCATCTTTGGTGCCATATTTATCACAATGTTTCGGACGTTGTACGCTCCGGCCTGCTTCAGGTGGTTGGAATGTCGAACTGAACCCATTATTTCGCTCACTGGGGTACATTGTTTTAGTTCCACGTGACATGTCTAGTGGATGTCAATTATCAGTTATCTCCTGTTAATTCCTCTCTCCAAGTTCTCCACTGCCTTAACCAGGTATTGAACTCACACTCTGTGGGTTTTGTCACTGGATCTAACTAACGCCTTTATACACTGTGCCATGTGTCCTTGAGGACATCTGTGTATGAATTTCTGGGTATTATTAACCTAATGTCTTCAGCAACAATATTTTACCAGTGCTCATATTGCATTTTTTGCTGCTATCATTGTATGTTTTTACCAGAACTGATATTGCAATTTTTGTTGTTTATTATCGCCTTTTCTCTGGCACTCCTTATAGTTCCCATATAGTATTCATTTCTATACTTGGTCGGCTCAGGAGATTTTTGTGGCCTAGCACATGTGCTGATTCCTTAAGTTTATGAATTTTCCAATGATGTTCTTTGTCTATGATCTCAACCTTGTCATTAGAATCTATATCTCTAAAACCAACTATATGGTTATGGTACGTAGATGACACCTTCATACTCTGGCCACACCAGGAAGATGTTCAGGTTCTACTGGACCATGTGAACTCAATAAGACCTTCAATACAGTTCACGATGGAGAAAGAGAGTAACAACACACTCTCATTCCTGGATGTTCTAACATCTCGAACAGAGCATGGGTTCAAGACACCCGTATACCATAAACCGACATTAACCGGACAGTACCTCAATTTCAACTCCCGCCATCCATATAGTATAAAGAAAGGGATCGTCCGCTGCTTACAATACCAAGCAAAAGTCATAAGTGGCGACCCAGAGACATTAAATAAAGAATTGGTCAGTATAAGTAGTACCCTACAACGTAACAACTACCCTGGGTATATGGCAGCAGCCTCAATAAACTGGGATAGGCGGGTACAAGAGGAGGACAACAACACTCAGAAAACAGTCTGCCTGCCTTATGTGAAGGTGTTATCAGAGAAAGTACAAACGGATCTGCGGTTCATATAACATAATATACAGTGTGAGCCATGTAATTAAAAAGAATTTATAATATAAAAACAAAGATATTCAATAGAAAAAATCAGTTTATTTTTCAAAGAATTTCTACATACATTCAAATTAAAGAAATAGAAAAAACTTATTCAATAAAAATGCTAGTGTTTAATTTTCTGGCCTTAATGAATGTAGTTGATTAAAAGTTGATTTTAATTACCTTCATCCAGGGGTTGGCAGTCTATGGCACGCGTGCCACGCCAAAGCATTTCCAATGGCACGCAGCAGCAAATGACATCACGAAGTCCGAACCAATAACGACTACAGCGCAAAGAAGATATTTAGCTGTTTCAATTTTAATATATACTAAAGTATA